ACGGCTTTCACCTCAAGCGATACGTCCGGTGCGACCTTGCCCGCAAGGTCCAGAGCCAGCGCCTGGAACTTGATCTTCTGGCTGGAGGAAACCCAGCCTTCGGTCTTGATGCCCGCCACCACGGCGGCCGGCCAGACGGTGGAGACGCTGCGTATCGTCTGCACCTCGCCGTTGGGGTCGGCGTAAGTGGCTTCCATCAACAGCTCCTGCGGCTGCCGGTGCGTGGGGATGTCGTTGATGGTGAGCTTGCCCGCGCCGTTGCGGTCCAGCGTCAGCGGCAGCTTGTCGGCGATCACGCGCTGGTCCTGCGAAGAAGTGGCTTCTTCGTCATCCGCCCTGGCGGCCTGGTCGCGGTTGATGCGCGGCGGCATGAAGTTGAATTCTTCGTAGTCGCTGTAGCTCAGCGATTTGGCGCGCACCAGCGCCGACACGCGTACCGGCAGGTTCACGGCGCCGCCGCCCGAAACGTAATTGATCTGCACGTCGGTCGGAACCGACTTCACGTTGATCAGGGCTTTTTTCTCGGACGGGTTGATGCGCCCCTCGAGCACCGGCAGGCGGAATTCCTCGACACGGAACTGCCCGCTGGTGAAGCTGCGGGCGCGGTTGCCCCGGCCGCTGCCGCTGTCGTTCTGGGTCTTGAGCTGCACTTCGTAGACGCCCAGCTTGGCGGCCGGCGGGACGGCGAAGGTGTTCTCGGCGCTCAGGCCGCCGGTGGCGGTCTTGCGCCAGCTGATGGGCTGGGTGTATTGCTGGCCGCTGCCCACGTGGGTGACGACCAGCGTGGCCGGCGTGGCCTCGGGCAGGCCGAAACCCTTGCTGGTTTCGGTGCGCAGCAGATGTTTCATCGACACCGTTTCGCCGGCGCGCAGCAAGGTGCGGTCAAAAATCGTGTGGGCCCGCTCGTCGGGCATGGCGCTGCGGCTGGTCGGCACGTTGAAGCGCCAGGGCTCTATGCCCCTGTGCCAGTCGCTCCAGGTAAAGGCCAGGTCTTCGACGCCGGCCACGGTGCTGCGCGCACTGACGAAGTAGGCATCGCGGGAATCACTGCCCGCGCAGTGCGGCGGGTCGGACGAGAGGCTCGCGAAGTTGGCGATGCCCTGGGCGTTGGTGACGGCCTTGGCGACTTCGGTGCCGTTGCAGCCCGACACGCGCACCGTGGCGCCGGCCACCGGCATGCCCTTGTCCAGCGTGGTGACCCAGGCCAGCGAGTTCTCGCGGCCCAGCTTGAAATGCACGCCCAGGTTGGTCACCAGGGCCGAGGTGCGCACATACATGGTCCGGCTGGCGCCGTGGCGCTCGTCCAGCAACGAGCCGCCGAGTTTCTGCGAGGCGATCTCCACCACGTGAAAGCCGGGCGCCAGCGGAATGCCGACGACCTCAAAGGGGCGCGGGTCGCCGCCCACGGGCTTGGGCAGGTCCAGCGTCTTCACGCCGGCCTGGCCGCCCAGCAGCGACAGCATGCGCGACTGCACATAGTCCTTGCCCTGCGAATCCAGCGCTTTGGGCAGCGGGCCCTTGACGTCGGCGGCGGCCTGCTTGCGCGAGACCTCATATTCGTCGTAGCGCTGCACCTTGCGGAACCAGGCAATGATGTCGGCGTCGGTGCGCGGCTGCAGGTCGCTGACCTTGCCGGCCGGGGCGCCCGGCACCAGTCCCTTGACCTGCAGGGCCGCTTCCACATTGCGCAGCGTCACCGGCAGCAGGGCCGGGTCGCCGGGCTTGGTGTTGGGTTCGGCAAAACGTTCGACGATGCCGAAGGGCGAGGCGGCGAATTTCGCCAGCGGCGGCATCGCGCCGGTGGCCACTTTCAGCGGAAAGCTGTCGGCATTGCGCAGCGTGCGGCCGGAGGCGTCCTTGAAGTTGCCGGGCAGTTCCAGCGAGAACTGGGCCTGCTCCGGAAAGATGGGCTTGAAGCTGAGGTTGGTGACCACGTTGTCGCCGTCGCTGTTGCCGTCCTCGAAAGAAGGTTTCAGCGTGTCCTTGTCGCCCTTGAGGCGAATGCCCTCGGCCAGCTTGCGCGGCACCGGCGCGTTGAAGTTCAGGGTCATGGGCCGCATCGGCAGGCAGGCCGACTGGGCGTTTTCACGCTCGCAGCTGAAGGAAGCCGAGAAGGGCTCGCGCACCTGGAAGTTGTAGCGTTTTTCGACCGAATTCGGCACGCCGCTGGGCGTGCTCACGCCCTTGCCGTAGACCAGCTGCACCTTGGTGGCCGACGTCAGGCGCCGGTTACAGGCCAGCGTGACGTAGCGCAGCGGGTCTTTGGCCGCGGCCTTCTCCAGGCCTTGCGACTTCAGCAGTTCTTCGCGCTCCTTGCCGTCGATCAGCTTGACGGGCACACGCTCGCCCAGGCCTTCGGCGGCACACCAGACGTTCTCCCGGATGCTTTGCAGCGTGGCCGGGCCGTTGAGCTGCAGCAGGAAATACTGCTCTTCGTCGATGCGCTCATAGGTGCCGGGGCGCAGGTTCTGCACAAAAGGGCCGCCGGTGTTGAATTTGTAGGAAGCGGTGCCGCTGACCGGCTGGCTTTTGGGCGACTTGAAGGTGCCGACCACGTTCACCGCGCAGTTCACGCCCGGCGGCAGGTCGTTCTCGAACTCGAACGCCCATTCGCGCTCGCTGATCCAGCGGCCCGAGCCCTTGGTGGCCTGCGCGTCGCTGCAGCTCAGCGACAGCGGCGCGGGCGCCTTCGGGTCGCCGAAATTGACGGCCCCCTCATCAAACTTGGCGACCACCTGCCGCACCCGCGCGACCTCGCCCTGGGGCGAAAGGCTGATGATTTGCAGGGCATGGGCATGCAGCGATACCGCCGCGATCAGTGCCAGGGCGGCTTTTTTCATTGTTTGGCTCACGTTTCCTTCTCCTTCGGGAGCCCAGAGCGTAGCTGATTTGTATGTAACAAAATGCAGCGGAGGCGGGGAAAAATGCCCCCAAGCCGCGGCTGGGGGGCTGGCCGCAGCGCCGGCCCTGGAAAGCGCGCCAGCGCAGGGGATTGTTGGGTCGCGGCTATAGTGGCCACAAATACAACAGGGGAGGCCTCGATGCGGACACGTTCACAAATTGCAGGGGGCTGGGTGGCTGCTGGAATGGTGGCATGCGCATTTCTCAGCGCACCGGCTCGCGCTCAGATCAGGCAGACAAGTCCTGAGGCACAGCTTGCCTGCCAGGTGTTTGACCAGGCCGACGGAATGCGGCCGGTACTCGCATCTGCGCGGGCCGGCGACGCTGAAGCCGTTCCGAAACTCGGGCAGCACATGGACGCGCTGCGAACACTGATGCGTGGCAATCTGCCGCCGTCTCTCGACCGTCTTGCGCCTCTCGTGGGCGGTATGGAGTATTCGGCGAAAATTCTTCTTCAGAAGCCCCATGTCCTGCCGACGGTGCAGAACGGCCTGCACGATGTGATTCGCCAGTCACTGGTCCTGGTCAGCCAGGCCCAGGAGGTGGCGGCGAATGAACGCAAGGGTCGCCAGGCGACTGCGCGCGTCGCGGCTGCGCAGCAATTGCCGATACTGCTCGACAGCCTCGCCAGGAATGCCGGAAAGGTTGCCGCCGCGGAAATGTCCCAGGATGCCGTTTTCGATCTTGGGCGCAACCTCAATGACCTCAGGACATTGACGCATGCGCTGACAGTGGGAAACGCCGAACTCAAGATACCCGCGGTCAGCAATGCGCAGCAGCGCGCCCGGCTGCAGAAGCTCACGGAGGATTTCGCTCCGATCTGGGCAAGCGCAGGTCAAGCGCTGGGCAATTTGCAGGAGTACGTCACGGCGGACATCGCCATCAACCACCTCCAGAAGGCGTCGTCCGAGCTGGTGGCCGGTGTGCTGCGCGTTTGCTACGCACCGGGAATTCGTGTCGAGCCCGCACGCCGACAGTAGCCCAGGCTCATGGATTCCCTGATGGCGAAGGGATGCCAGAATCTCGCCAGGGAGATTCGACATGCTGCAGTGGCTTAAAAGAAAACGCGAACCGGATGCGACAGGAAACAACGAGCTGGTATTGAGCGAGGCCTTTCCTTCACACGACATCCTGTGGCGCGCCGGCACCCAGCTGCCCATACCCGATTGGCAACAGCAGCCCTGGCCTGAGGGAAGTGATGAGGTCACACTGCACCGCCACGCTAATGGATGGGCGGCGGCCTGGCTGGATGCGACGGGCAGCGCTCTGGGCGAGCGCCACATGCGTGCCGAATCGGCCAACTTCATGCTGCTTTCCGCCCTGGAGCCGCGCGCGACACGTGTGCTGCTGGACTACCTGGAGCGCTCGCGCAAGAGGGTGCTTGCCACTCTGCCCGGGATAGCCGCCGACCACGGCCATGGGAAGACGGTCGTCATGGTGTTTGGGGAGGAGGAAAACTATTACCAGTACATCTCCCATTACGGCAGCGGAGCATCCCAGCCCGAGGCCCACAGCAGCGGCATGTTCATCGACGCCGGCTACGGCCACTTCGTGTTCACCCAGGGCGCTTTTGAAGCCATGGAGCCCGTGGTCATCCACGAAATGACCCATTGCCTGGTTCGCCATCTGCCGATACCGGCCTGGTTGAACGAGGGGCTGGCCGTCAACACAGAGCACCGTTTTGTCCGGCCGCGCCCGCTGTACCGCCCCCAGGAACTCGAGTTCCTGTTCGCCCGCTTCTGGAATGCCGCCACGATCCAGGAGTTCTGGAGCGGCAAGTCCTTCATACGGCCCGACGACGGCCAGGCCCTCAGCTACGAACTGGCCAGGTTGCTGGTGCAGCTGCTGGGCAAGGATTACGACGCGCTCACGCACTTCTGTGAAACGGCGAACTACCAGGACGGCGGGGAAGATGCGGCGAAGACGGTTCTGGGAATGGGCCTGGACGACCTTGCTGCGATTGTGCTGGGGGCTGGGGAATGGACGCCGTCCCCTGCGGCGTGGACCGATGGCACTGAAAAGGGGCAGTTTTAGCCGGCGCATGTTCGCGTCCGCAATGCTATGGTCGCTTACCTTCAATGCCAATCGGTTAAAAAACTATGAGTTCACTATTGAAATTCTTGGGGGCTGTGTTGCTGGCGGCCTTGCTCCTGCTTGGCGTTGGCGCCGCCATCTATATTTATAAGGGGGTTGCCTTGCAGAGGAATGCAGCCGCTTATGTCGAAACAAATATCCCGTTGATTGTGCAGAGCTGGAACCCGGAGGAGGTGGTAAAACGCGCCGCACCCGAGTTCCTGGTTCCTGCCGTGCGGGAGGGCTTGCCGCCGATTTTTGAGCAATTGTCCAAACTGGGGGCACTGAAAAAGCTGGGGAAACCGCAGGGCGGAATCGTGGTCGCCGATCTCCAGCTGGCGTTTCGCGAGAACCGGGTTCATGTGGGCGTCAATAACGGACAACTTCAGCCGGTATGGGCCGAATTTGTGACTGATGCCGACTTCGAAGCGGGACCGGCCAAAGTCAAAGTGGTACTGGTTCGCCGCAGCGATGAGTGGCGGATCATGGGTTTCTGGGTACGTCCATGACAACTCTGCTCAGTTTGATCTACAACAATGAGACTGACCTCGTTGAAAAGGTCAAATCCCATATTGCCCAGGGAGAGGACGTCAACCGGGTCACCGAGTATGGGGAGTCCGCACTGCGAGTTGCTTCCAACCGTGGTCGATTCGACGTGGTTGAAGTGTTGCTCAATGCCTCGGCAGATCGGGGACAGCTCAAATGGAGCAACACGATTTACGAAGTTGTCTATGGCACACAGGCCAGCATCAGGAAATCGGTTCAGGAAAATGGCGACCTGGAGTCGGCTGACCATTGGAAGCGAACTCCCTTTCTGATGGCGGTCCAGCTTGGCGACACCGGGAAGGCCCAGTTGTTGCTGGACCTGGGTGCCAATCGACTGGCGACAGGGCGGTGCGGAAAGACGCCCATGCAATACGCCGTTCAACACAACAACGTGGCGATGCTGAACTGGCTGGTGGGCCAGGGATTCGACATTGAATCCACGGATGAGTACCTGGAGACGCCTCTGATAGCGGCCGCTTCGCAAGGCATGGTTGACTGCGTGAAGTTTCTGATTCAACGCGGGGCGGATATCCATAAAGCCAACCACATTCCGGAGCGACCCATTGAAGTTGCGGTGAATATGGAAATTGTTCGCATCCTGGTCAGCCATGGGGCCGACATCAACGACATCAGCCCGGAGATGCACGCCAGCTTGCTCGGGGTTGAGCATGGCTCAGAACCGGTGGTTTCGCCAGGTGACTACGCTGCAGGAAGGAATCGCCGGTTCGGCATTGGCAACCCGGAGGAAATTGACAACCCGTTCTGGCTTTCAATGGTTCGTTCGGGGGCTTCCGGCTGGCAAGCGAGCCGGAAATTCGCGGACTCAAGCGATCGGGATGGTTTTCCCGTGTGGTGCTACCAGCGATTCGGGAGATCCACCACCCTTCTGGACGATGGCCGCATCATTGAAATCGCGGGTGAACACGAAGACCACTACGACCCGGACTTTTGCATTTACAACGATGTGACCGAGTTCAGCCCGGATGGGGCTATCCGCATCTTTGGATATCCGGAGCATGTTTTTCGCCCGACGGACTTTCATACCGCGACACGGGTCGGTGATGCCATCCTCATCATTGGCTGTCTTGGTTATCCGGAAAGCCGGCGGTTCGGGCGGACGCCCGTCTATCGTTTGAGTCTCACAAACTTTGAAATTCAAGAGATTGAAACCAGCGGCGATCACCCAGGATGGATTCACAGGCACAAAGCCAGGCTCGACGGGCAAAGCCGCATCATTGTTTCAGGGGGAGAAATTGAGCAAAGTTTGAATGCGCCCTCCCGCGAAAACATCGATGACTGGGCTCTTGACCTCGGGACCTGGGTCTGGACGCGCAGCACGGATCGCCGTTGGCCCCAATGGACATTTGCGCGACTCGACCGGAAACAGAATCACCTATGGCAGATCCGGCAGGCGCTCTGGACTCGCGGTGTCAATTGGAAGGATGAGTTCCAGAACGATATGCGGCGGCTTTCTGAAAGCTTGGGCTATGAACCTGACCTCGACGCCGTGCAATCAATTTACCGTGTGGATGGCGTGACGTCCGATGCGCCGGTCAAAAAGGGCGAAGACAAAATTCTCAAGGGGTATGTGGATGGCGTCGCCATCCGCATGAAAGAAGACCATTGGCTTGTTCAGGTCATGGTGGAGGGAGAGTTGCCGGAAGCAAGGCTGAACGCATTTAAAGAGGGCGTTCTTGCCAACCTTGCCCGCCTGGAAGGCGTAGCCTGGGGCGTTGACACACTAGTGGGCGAAGAATGACCATCAGCGTTTCCGCGCGCGCTGACCGCGGGCAAGGTGCCGGTCGCGTACAAGCGGATGGCCCTCCGCGAACCCGGGAACGCTGGCTTGATCAGGGTGTCCTACCGATCATAAAGTTGCGTGCGTTATGACGATGGGCGACACATAAGGAATCAGTGATGAAAAAATGTCCAGCTCTTGCCGGCGCTTGCCTGTCCCTTGTGCGCGGCACATGCGTGCTGTGCTTGCTGGTGCCCGTGTTCTCATGGGCCGGCGGCGCGGAATTCGCGCTGCGCTGGAGCAGCGGCGGGCCGGCTTCCGCGGAGGAGGCCGTGACCGTGATGGGCCTGGAGGGCAGCCGGAAAGTCGCGGCGTATGAGGTCGAGTACTTCACGGTGCTTGCGCCCCCGGTGTCCACCAGCCCGCCGGCGATCGGCAGGCGGCGGACCCGGTCTGACGGCAAGGTCGAACTGACGCTGAAATACCGCAATTCACAAGCCTTCGGCAGCGGCTTTGACACCAAGGCTGCCTGCGCCTTGGGAAAAGATACGACTATCAAGGTGGAGACCGACATCTCGGTGCTCCAGACGCTTCAACCCAGCCGGGCCTATTCGGTTTCCTGTGAGCGTGAAGCGAAGAAGAAGGTGCTCGATTTCCCTGAGGCCATGCGCGCGACATCGATGGGGTGCAAAAATCGCATGAAACGCGTCACGGTCGGCATGTTCAAGGTGGAGGAGTGGCAACTGCCCCAGGGCCGGCTTCTCGAAGTGTCAATGCCGGGGAATGACACGCCAGAGGACCTGGCGCTCTTCATGGCAAAGGTCAAGCCCTTGCTGGACAAAGGCGTGGTGCTCGTGGATCGCAGCAAGTCCCAGGCGGGAAGCAGCTGCGCTTAGGGCCTGTCAACGTCAGGCGGCGTAGCCTGCGCCCCCCTAAAGAATGATGTTGTTCCTGGGCTTGAGCAGGCCAGGCAGCTCCGTCTCCCCCAGCATCTGCCTCAACTCAATCTCCAGCAGCCGGCAGACCTGTGCCATGGGAACGTCATTGGCGCCGCCCTCAAACGGGTTCTCGGTGCTTTCGCCGACCTGGTCCAGCGAGATGTACATCCAGGAGATCAGCAGGCTGAAGGGAATCGCGAACCAGCCCATATTTCCCGCCAGAAAGCCGGCGACGTGCGTGTTGAGCTTGTCGAACTCGCCGACGATGCCGAAGGGCAGCAGCGCCGCGAAGCTCCAGACAAAAATGGTGTTGATGATGGCGTACTGGCGCGGGTAGGGAAAGTTCTTGATGCGCTCGGCCCGGCTTTGCTGGTCGATGAAGTCCTTGAGCGTCTTCTGCATTTCGGTGTGGTGCAGCACCACGAGTTTCTGGCCGGCGTAGAGCGCGCGTATCGCTTCGCTTTGGTCGCCCATGAGCCGCGTCGCCTTGCCGTGCACGGTGGCAAGCCGGGCCAGTTCCTCTTCATCCAGGTACTTTCGCAGCTCCTGATCCAGCGAGGTTTCTTTTTCGGGGATGGAAAAGAAGGTGGCCCGGTATTCGGCGTTCGACTGGGTGGCCGCGCTTTCCCAGACCCTTTCGGTGCGCAGCTGGTAGCGCAGCGCCGTGAGCCAGGCGAGGTGGCGGTAGACCAGGGACTGTGTTTTGTCGCGGTCAACCGGAAAGTCCCGGCAGATCAAACCCCAGTAGCGGCTGCTGGTCGCGATCGCCGTCCAGACCTGCTGGGCCTCCAGCGTGCGGCCGTAGGTCTGGGCGTTCTTGAAGCCCACGATGAAGGAGGTGGCCGTCCCGAGCACGGCGACCACCACCCAGGGCAGGGCGATCCACTTCAGGCCCAGCGACTGGTACAGCACCACCGGCACGGCCGTGACCAGCAGCAGCACGTAAATCCTGCGCCGCGTCCAATGCAGGAATTCGGTGAGCCGGTAGGATTTTCCGATGTGCATGGGGTGGTGTTCCTGGTGGGACCGTGCGAACGGTGTGGATGGATGATCGACGGGATCAATGATAAGGGCGGGAATTAATCATTTCCGTTTTTGGGTGCGCGGCCCTAGGCTTGGCCGCTTTGGCGATACGCCTTCCGCCCATCAATCAGGAGTCCCTCCGCCCATGAAAAAAGTTGCCGTCCTGCTGGGAAGCCTTAGAGCCCATTCTTTCAGCCGCAGCCTGGTGCATGCCCTGGCCACCATCGCGCCGGAGCCGCTGTCGTTCGACATCGTGGAAATCGGTGACATGCCCTTCTACAACCCGGACCTGGAGGGCGATGCCGCGCCCGCGGCCTGGCAGGCTTTCCGCCGGCGCATCCTGGCGGCCGACGCCCTGCTGTTCGTCACGCCTGAATACAACCGCTCGGTGCCGGCCGTCTTGAAGAATGCGATCGACGTCGGCTCCAGGCCTTATGGGCACAGCGTGTGGCAGGGCAAACCGGGCGCGGTCATCTCGATCTCGCCGGGCCGGCTGGGCGGCTTCGGCGCCAACCACCATTTGAGACAGTCGTTGATGTGCCTGAACGTCGCCACGATGGCAACACCGGAGGCCTACATCGCCGACGTCGCCTCCTGTGTTGACGAGAACGGCGCGTTTGCCGATGCCGAGACCCAGGCCTTTTTGCTGGGCTATCTGCAGCGCTTCGCGGCCTGGGTCCAGCTGAACGCCGGCGCTTGCGTTGCGGCGCTTTAGCTTGCGGTAGCGCGGACCCGTGGCCGCCTGGACGCGGCTTTCGGGCCTTCGGCGGGCGCCGCCGGCCTGGCCCGCTTGCCGGTGCTTCCCGCATCCCTGGCGGGTTCGGCTTCCGTCGAATAGGTCTTGGGCCGCGAGGTGCTGGCCATGGCGGTTTTGCGCAGCAGCGCCGCGAAGGTGCGGACCGCGCGTGTCTGCGGCCCGTCGTCCTTGAACAGCAGCCCCGGCGTGCGCAGCGGGGTCGGGTTTTCCATGGGCACGACGCTCAGGCCGGTGGTCTGCCCCAGCGCGTTGGCCGCCACGATGGCCCCGACCTGGATCCTGGCGACCACACCCAGCATGGCGGCGATGGTGTTCATTTCGGCCACGACATTGGGCTCAGCGCCCGCGGCCGCAAAACATTCGTCCAGCAGGCGCCGGGTGGAGAAGCTCTGCGGCAACAGCACCAGCGGCTCGCGGTGCAGTTCAATCATGCGGATGCGCTTGCGTTTGGCCAGGGCATGGGAGTTTGCGACCACCAGCACCAGTTCTTCGTTAAACAGCGGCTCGAAGCGCAGGTCGCTGCGCAGCTCCGGCCTGTAGGCCACGCCCAGGTCGAGTTCACCGGCATCCAGGCGTGTGGCGATCGCATCGGCGGAGAGTTCCTCGACCACGACCTTGACCGTGGCGTTGCGCGACAGGAACACCGCGATGCATTCGGGGATAAAGCCGAGATTGAAGGTGTGGGTGGCGCCTATGCGCACCACGCCGGACATGGACACCGGGCTGGTCTTGAGCTCGCCCAGGCCCTGGTCGATTTCACGTAGCGCGCGTGTGGCGTAGGCCAGGAACACGCCGCCGGCCTCCGTCATGACGACGCGCTTGCCGACGCGGTCGAACAGGGGCTGCCCGACTTCATTCTCGAGCTGGCGGATCTGGTGCGACAGCGTCGACTGCGTCACGTGGACGCGTTCGGCCGCCCGCGTGAAGTTCAGCGAACCCGCCAGCGCAATGAAATACCGAAGATGTCTCAACTCCATGGCGTCCGCTTTCTGATCGATGCCGTCAATGATAACCAAATGAATTAATCATTTTTGTCTTTGGTGCAAGCCACTTACGCTCTGGGCATCGAGCTTCAGGCCGCCCTTTGGCGGACCGAAAGCCGCGGAGACAAGCATGCACGACAACAAAAATTTCAGGGGCGCCGCCGTTCGCCCGGGCCTGCCGCCCGGCGCCGCCGCGCACCCCGCCACACACTCATTTCCCGGATATCCCCGCTAAGGAACAACACTCATGCCCAAGGTATTGGAAGGCATCACCGTGCTCGAACAGGGCACTTTCATCACCGGGCCCGCGGCGGGAATGCTGCTGGCGGACCTGGGCGCCAAGGTCATCAAGATCGAGCAGCCCGTCACCGGCGATCCATTTCGCGCCTTCAAGGGCGGCCTGTACAGCCCGCACTTCCAGACCTACAACCGCAACAAGCGCAGCATCACGCTGAACACCAAGGAAGCCGAAGACGCCAAGGTCTTTGATGCGCTGGTCCAGGACGCCGACGTCTACATCCAGAACTTCCGGCCGGGCGCGGCCGAACGCCTGGGTGCGGGCGAGAGCCGCCTGCGGGCGCTCAACCCGCGGCTGGTTTACTGCGCGATCAGCGGCTTCGGCCAGACCGGGCCGGCGGCGGGCCGGCCCGCGTATGACACCGTGGCGCAGGCCGCGAGCGGCTTCCTGAACCTGCTGGTCAACCCCGAGAACCCGCGCATTGTGGGGCCGGCGATCGCCGACGCGCTGACCGGTTTTTACGCCGCCTACGGCATCCTGGGCGCACTGGTCGAGCGCGGCAGGACCGGCGTGGGGCGCTCGGTGGAGGTCTCCATGCTCGAAGCCATGTGCCACTTCAACCTGGACGCCTTCACGCATTTTTTTTGCCGAGGGCGAAGTCATGGGCCCTTACAGCCGGCCCAGCGTTTCGCAGTCCTATACCTTGAAGTGTTCCGACGGCAAGTGGGTGGCGCTGCACATGTCCTCGCCCGAGAAATTCTGGCACGGCCTGGCACAGGCGATAGAGCGGCCCGACATCTTTGACGACGCGCGCTTCAGCTCGCGCGAAGCGCGCATCGCGCACCAGGACCAGCTGATCGCGCTGCTGGGCGGCATCTTTGCCACGCGCCCGCGTGCCGAGTGGTGCCAGCGGCTCGAATCGCAGGACGTGCCCTATGCGCCCATGTACGACACCAGCGAAGCGCTGCAGGACCCGCAGGCCAGGCACCTGCAGCTGGAAATCCAGGGCATACACCCGGTGTTGGGCAAATGGACCACGGTGCGCTCGCCGGTCAGTTTTGACGGTGTGCGCCCCACCGACGTGGTGCCGCCGCCCATGCTGGGCGAGCACAGCGCCGAAATCCGCGCCTCGCTGGCAGGGCGCCCGGCAGCGTGGAGGCGGTAAAACGGGCAGGCGGGCAAGCCAGTAAAAAAATTTCGGCAGTGGTTTAAAAAATAAAAGGAGACAAACATGAATGCATCATCACTATCGGCAGAAGCGGCCGTTGACACGGCCCCCCACAAGGCGGCAGGCGGCGCCCCGTGGGTTCAATTGGTCCTCGGCATGGTCGCCATGATGGCGATCTCCAGCCCGCAATATGTCTGGGCGCTGTTTGTGCAGCCGCTGCAGACCTCGCTGGGCGTTTCGCTGTCGGCGCTGCAGGTCACCTTTGCCTTGTTCAGCATCTTCCAATGCGGCATAGGCCCTGTGCATGGCGAGCTGGCGAGCCGCTTCTCCTCCCGCACTTTCGCGGCCATGGGCGGCCTGCTGGTCGGCCTGAGCTGGGTCAGTTCGGCCTACGTCACCTCGCTGCCCTGGCTGTACCTGACCTACGGCGTGCTCTCGGGCATAGGCACAGGCTGGGTCTACGTCGCCGTCGTGGAACTGATGGTGCAGTGGTTTCCGGCGCGCCGTGGTTTTGCCGTCGGCATGGTCGCGGGCTGCTACGGCTTCGGCGCCATCGTCACCACCTTCCCGATCGCCGCCAGCATCCGCGACAACGGGCTGCAGAAAACCCTGGTGGTGTTCGGCATCGCGCTGGCCGTGATCATCGTGCTGGCCGCGCTGGGCATGAAGCGCGTCGCCGCGGCCAAGGACCCGGTGGGCGCCGGGCTCGCTGCGCCGATTCCGGTGGCACCCGGCTACGCACCCCGCGAGATGCTCAAAACCCCGCTGTTCTGGTTGATGTTCCTCATCATGGCTATGGTCGCCACGGGCGGATTGATGGCCATTTCGCAGCTGGGCGCGCTGGCCAAACACTTCGGCATCAGCGGCGAAACCGCCGTGATGGGCATGGCGGCGCTGCCGCTGGCCCTGACGCTGGACCGCATCGCCAACGGCCTGACACGGCCCTTCTTCGGCTGGGTCTCCGACCGAATAGGCCGCGAGCCGACCATGCTGGCCGCTTTCATGCTCGAGGCCTTCGCCATCCTGATGCTGCTCAAGTTCGGCACGAACCCGCTGGCCTTTGTCCTGCTGTCGGCCGTGGTGTTCTTCGGCTGGGGTGAAATCTATTCGCTGTTCCCCTCGCTGCAGGCCGACGTGTTCGGTGTCCGGCATGCCGCGAAAAACTTCGGTTACCTGCTGATCGCCACCGCGGTGGGCTCCATCCTCGGCGGCCCGCTGGCCGCGCTGCTGTATGAAAAAACCCGGTCGTGGGACTTGATCATCTACATCATCGTGGTGATGGACATCGCCGCCGCGCTGCTGTCGATCTGGGTGCTCAAGCCCCTGCGTGTACGCTGGATGGCCCAGGCCCGGCAAGACGGCCGGCTTTGATTTTCACCAACGGACAGGAGCGCGCGCAATGACAAGTTCCAACCCACAACTTGAACTCACCCAGGCGGTGATAGACAGCATCGCGAAGTCGCCGGATCCCCGGTTCCGGCAGCTCATGGCCACCTTGATCACCAAGCTCCACGAGTTCATCCGCGAAGCGGACCTGACGCCTGAAGAGTGGATGGCCGCCATCGAATTCCTGACGGCCACCGGCAAGACCTGTACCGACAAACGCCAGGAGTTCATCCTGCTGTCGGATACGCTGGGCGCGTCCATGCAAGTGGTCATGCTCGCGCAGGCGCGCGCCTCGGCGCAGGCAAGCGGCAACTTGCCGGCCACCGCCGCCACCGAAGCGACCGTGCAAGGCCCGTATTACTGGGCCGGCGCGCCCGACAAGGCATTGGGCAGCAACATCGCCGAAGGCGTCGCGGGTGAGCCCGCGTATTACGCCGGGCAAGTCACCGACACCGAAGGCAAGCCGCTGGCCGGCGCTTTGCTCGACGTGTGGTCCGGGGACGGGGAGGGCGTCTACGACATGCAGGTCGAGGGCCAGACTGAAATGCTGGCGCGCGCGCGTTTCAGGACCGATGCCGAAGGGCGTTATGCCTTCTGGTCGATACGGCCGAGTTTTTACCCGATTCCCATGGACGGTCCCGTCGGCAAGATGATTGAAGGCATGGGTAAACACCCCAACCGCCCCGGGCACATCCATTTCATGCTCTCCATGCCCGGCTACGCGGGTGTCACCACTCACTTGTTTGTCGCCAACAGCCCCTACCTCGACTCCGACGTGGTGTTCGGCGTGCGCGACAGCCTGGTGGTCGATTTCGAGCGGCACGAGCCGGGCAAGGCGCCCGACGGCCGTGACATGAACAAGTCCTGGTGGTCGGCCCGGCACGATTTCCGCCTTGCGCCGGCCAGGCCTTGATCTCCCTCAATACCTCCCTCCACCTGAAGAAGACACCATGAAAATCGGCAAAGCGACCGTGCCCCGCACCTCCATCAGCACCTCCAACGAGGACACCATCGTCGTGCGCGGGGAAGACCTCTGCAAGGACCTGATCGGCAAAATCTCCTTCACGGATTACTTCCATCTGCTGGTCACCGGGTCGCGCCCGACCCCGGCGGCGACCGCCGTGCTGGACGCCACCCTGGTGGCCATCGCCGAACACGGCCTGGTGCCCAGCGTGCAGGCCAGCCGCATGACGCTGGCCGCCGCGCCGGACGCGCTGCAAGGCGCCGTGGCGGCGGGCATCCTGGGCTGCGGCTCGGTCATCCTGGGTGCCTCGGAAACCGCCGGCCGGCTGTTCTTCGAGGTCGAAGAGCGGGCCAAGGCCGACGGCAGCGACCTCGACGCCGCGGCCCTGGCCGTGCTGCAGGAATACCGCGCGGCGCGCAAGGCGATTCCCGGTTACGGCCACCCGCTTCACAAGGCGCGTGATCCCCGCGTCGAACGCCTGTTCGCCGTCGCCAGGGAGCACGGCGCGAACCTGGCTTACATCGCCATCGCCGAAGCCATCGAACGGCAGATACCGCAGGTGATGGCCAAGGACCTGCGCCTGAACGTCTCCGCCGCCATTCCCGCGGTGCTGCTGGGCATAGGCTTTCCGCTGGCGGCGCTCAAGGGCGTTCCCATCCTGGCCCGCACGGCCGGGCTGATCGCCCACCTGACCGAGGAGCTGGAGCAATCGATAGGCTTCGCGCTGTCCTACCAGGCCACGCGGGAACTGCACTACGACGGTGAACTGCCGGCCGGCTTTGCCGCAAGCCATTCCTGATTCCGCAAGAGGCATCGGGGGGTATCGGGCGACATCGGCACCGGGTCCATCCAATAACCACAGAGAGACGAGACGAGCATGACATTACAGAGACAAAAAGCAGGCATCACCGTATGGCACACACTGGCCGCAATGGCGGTGGGCGCCGCGATGCTGGTGGCGCTGCCCGCCGCGGCGCAGGGCGATTTCCCGAACCGGCCCCTCAAGATGATTGTCCCCTTCGGCGCGGGGACCTCGACCGACACGGTGGCCCGCATCGTCGCGGACGCCATGGGCAAGTCCCTGGGGCAGCCCCTCATTGTTGAGAACAAGGCCGGTGGCGGCGGCACCATAGGAACGGAGTTTTCCGCGCGTGCGCCGGCGGACGGCTACACCCTCGTGATGGGAACGGTAGGCACCCATGCCATCAACAAGAGCCTGTACCGCAAGCTGGGCTACGACCCGGTGCGTGATTTTGCGCCGCTGGGGCTGGTCGGGCAGACGCCGACCCTGCTGGTGGTGAGCACCGATTCGCCCTTCAAGTCGCTGAAGGACCTCAGCGCCGCGGCCGCCAAACCGCCGGGGCTCAGCTTTGCATCGGCCGGCAACGGCACCTCGGGGCATCTGGCCGGTGAACTGCTGAAGTCCAGACTCGGCGGGGAAATGGTGCACGTCCCTTACAAGGAGGGCGGCATGGCGATGTCCGACGTCATGTCCGGCCAGACCCATTTCATGTTCTACCACCCGGCCGCCGTCATGCCGCACATCAAGGCCGGCAAACTGCGCGCGCTCGGCTCCTCAGGCGCCCAGCGCAGCGCAGCCGCGCCCGATGTTCCGACCATCAATGAGCAGGTGCCGGGCAGCGGCTTCGACCTGGTCGCCTGGTTCATGGTGTATGCGCCCGCCGCGACGCCGGCGCCCGTGCTGGCCAGGCTGCGCAAAGTGGTGGGTGAAGTGCTGGACAATCCCGACACGGCGGCCAGGCTCAACGCCCAGGGCGTCGAAAAGAGCAGCGTCAAGCCGGCGGAGCTCGGGACCTTCGCGCAGCGCGAAATCGTCAAGTGGGCCGAGCTGGTCAAACGATCGGGTGCGCAGGTCGATTGAGCCGGGCTGTCTGCGTCATCTGGGGATAAGAAATCATCCGAAGATTTCGCAGATTTACGCAGATTGAAAACAGGAAATTTGTATTCGAGATTGAAATTATCTTCAGCGGCATCTCCATGCGCCGGACAAGACCTCACATCCCGATTTCTTCAAATCTGCGTAAATCTGCGTAATCTGCGGATAAAAAATTCATCCGCGGATTAAAAACAGGTCTACGCAGCAAGCGCTACCGCATCGGCCCCAGCCGGATAGTGCATCGTCCCGCCCGCATCATTCGCCGCGCGCCACACCGCTTCGGCCACATCGGTTGCGGTGGTCACCGCCGTCATCGTTCCCAGCGAAGCAAAAATGCTTTGCGCAAACGGCGCATAAGCCTCTGGGATCAAGCCCTGCATGCGCTCCGCGCCATTGGCCGTGAAGCGCGTGCCCGGCCCGTAACCCGGCTCGACCAGCTTCACGCCGATGTTGAAGGGCGCCAGCTCCAGCGCGAGCGACTCGGTGAATCCCGTGATGGCCGTCTTGCTCGCGGTGTAGGCGGCCACCAGCGGCATGGGCGCCAGCGTCACGGTCGAGGTCACGTTGACCAGCAGGCCGGCCCGGCGCGTGCGGAATTGCGGCAACACGGCCTGGACCATGGCCATCATGCCGAAGGTGTTGGTGTCGAAGATCTCGCGGACCGTGGCCATGGGCGTTGCCTCGAAGGCGCCGAACAGGCCCAGGCCGGCGTTGTTCACCAGCACGTCGATGGGACCGGCGGCCGCCATGGCGGCGGCGATGCTCTCGGGCCGGGTCACGTCCAGCAGCAGCACGCGCAGGCGCTCCGAGTTCGGCAGAACGTCCTCGCGCGGCGTCCGCATGGTGGCGATGACCTTCCAGCCCTGGGCGTGGAAGTGGCGCGCGGTTTCAAGGCCGTAGCCGGAGGAGCAGCCGGTGATCAGAATGGTTTTCATGGTGTGTTTCCTTGGGGGTTGATGGAAGCTCGGGTTGGAGGTGGCGTAACGATATCGCCCGGAGACAGGACTTACTACAATGAAGAGTCCATAATTCATTGGCAGGAGTCCAGGCATGGTCGACCCACTCGCCGAAGTCATCACGCTGCTGAGGCCGCGCGCCGTGTATTCGAAAGTGATCAGCGGCGCCGGCGCCTGGGCCGTGCGCTATTCCGCTTTCGGCCAGCCGAGCTTCTGCACCATGCTGGAGGGCGAATGTGTGCTGGCCGTGGAAGGGCAGCAGCCCCTCACGCTGGTGGCCGGTGACTTTTTGCTGATGCCGGCCACGCCCGGGTTCACGATGTCCGGGGTGGCGCCGGCGGCTCCCGTCTTCATCGATCCCAAGGCCGGGCCCGCGCCCGAGGGTGAAATTCGCCATGGCCATCCTGAGGGCCCGCCCGACGTGCGCATGCTGGGTGGCTACTTCGCGTTTGATTCCCCCGATGCGGCCTTGCTGGTCTCGCTGTTGCCGGCCGTGCTGCATGTGCGCGGCATAGGGCGGCTGCCGCTGCTGGTGCAACTGGTGAGGGAGGAGTCCACGGCACAGCGGCCCGGCCGCGAACTGGTACTAGCGCGGCTCATCGAAGTGCTGCTCATCGAGGCGCTGCGCGGCGCGCCCACCGAAGGCGCGCCGCCGGGACTGTTGCGCGCCCTGGCCGACAGCCGGCTGGCCGCCGCGATGCGCCACATGCACGGCGAGCCCGCGCGGGCCTGGACGGTGCTGGAGCTCGCGAAGAAGGCGGCGCTGTCGAGGTCGGCTTTTTTTGAGCGCTTCTCGCGCGCCGTGGGACTGCCGCCCATGGAGTACCTGCTGGCCTGGCGCATGACCCTCGCCAAAGACCTGCTCAGCCGCGGCGACGTCGCGCTGGCCGAGGTGGCCGAACGCGTGGGCTACAGCTCGGCCAGCACCTTCAGCACGGCTTTCAGCCGGCATGTGGGGCAGGCACCTGGGCGCTATGCGCGGCGGCAACTCCGCCTGACTTTATGATGGCATGGCGTGCTTCTGGGCTGGATGGTGCAATGTCATCCACAGCAGCTGCGCAGGCCGCATTTTTGCGGGGGTGTATCAAAACCAGACGTCCGGGAGGTCCGCATGGCCATTGAGATTGAGCGCAAGTTCCTGGTTGCTGGAAGCGCATGGCGCCTGGCGGCTGGAGTCCGATTGAGCCAGGGCTACCTGAACCGGGACAAGGAGCGGACCGTGAGGGTCCGGCTTGCCGGAGCGCAAGCCTTTCTGACGATCAAGGGCCTGACCAGGGGAGCATCGCGCGCGGAATTCGAATACGAAATTCCTGCCGTGGATGGCGAGCAGCTGCTGAAGATGTGCGAAGGGCCTGTCATTGAAAAGATCCGCAGGGTGATCGTGCACGACGGATCCATCTGGGAGGTGGATGAATTTCTTGGCGACAACGCCGGCCTTGTCGTCGCGGAGATCGAACTGCAGTCGGAAGACCAGGCCTTTTCGCGGCCGGAATGGCTCGGGGAAGAGGTCACGCATGAATCCCGTTACTTCAACTCAAGCCTGGCCAGCCATCCCTACAGCCGTTGGCATGGCAAACCGGCCGCCTGACCTTCCCTGCCAAACTCAGGCCCTGCATGCTCAATGCAATGCTCGCACCCGACGTGCTGCATGAAAATCTGCTTGAATAGCTCCA